ATTCTGCCCGTAGATGACACGGACCAGAGGCTCCAGATAGAACGACTTGGCGGTGGCAGAGATGGCGCGCTGCTGGCCAAAGTACTGCAGCGAGGTGACGCCCGTGTACGTGCTCAAGCCGCCGTGGTGCAGGAACATGCTGATATTGCGGAACGGCTTGCCGTCCTCAAACTGCCCGCGTTCCAGGTAGTTGAGGTTCAACTTGCCCAGGAACCCGACCGTGTCCTCTGCAATCACAGCGTCGGATATGACGTCCTTCTCCAGGAAGTGCATGATGTCAAAGAGTGCGCGACCCTGCCAGATTGCCAACTCGGGCATCTTCGGCGGCACGCCAACAGCGTGTTGGGTTGTTGCACTGGTCTGCTGCGTCTGTTTCCGCCTCTGTTGCACCTGCTGTTGCTCCTGCTGTGGTTGCTGTTGTGAGGCCGACTGCTGCGTGTGGGCGCCGGTGTTGCTGCGGCGTGTCAGGTCCACGGGAATGTCGAGCTCCTTCACAATCTCTGACACGTAGTGGTTGACATTTGCCCATGCGTCGCCGCCAAGCTCGATCGGCCCATCCACCCCAGGCCATGAGATGTGCTTGAGCCGGCCACCGAGCTCGGAGTGCTGTTCAAACAGGTGCACGTCAAACGAGCCGTGGTGCTTGTTGAGGTAGTAGGCGACTGCAGCGCCACCGATGCCACCGCCGATGATGGCGATGCGAGGACGCCGTCCTACGCGCTGTGGTCCTTGCTCACCACCTGCATCGGCTGCCGTCGCGCTGGTGGCCGCACCAAGCACAGCCAGACAGGCTAACACGCTGACGATGACAAGCAGAAGGCGCATGCTGCGTCGGTTGTTGTTGGCTGTCGTCGTTGCTGCTGATGGCTGTCCTCCAAGACGAAGTAAAATTCACTATATCTTCAAATAATTCTCCACATCCAGAGTGGAATCTCGCCCACAAACAAACAACAACAGCGACGACTGACTTTGCTTCTTGCTTGCTGGCTGGCTTGCTTGCTTGAGTTGCTTGAGTTGCCTCTCCTTGGTTTTGCTTTGTGCAACCGACAGTCAGACAACAGCCAACGATGTGGCGTGCAGGGCTTGACGATCTTGAGGTGGAGTACGACAGCGGTGACGACTGGGAGACGGACGCCGACTTTGAGGTGCATGATATTGTGTGTGCATGTTTGTGTGTGTGTGTGTGTGTGTGTGTGTGTGTGTGTGTGTGTGTGTGTTGTGTGTGTGTGTGTGTTATGTGTGTGTGTTTGTGTGAGGCGTGTGTTGGGGGTGGTGTGTTGTTGTGTGTGTGTGTGTGTGTGTAAGTGCACATCCTGCTAGCGGCATACGAGATGCCCTGGAGCCTCTAAAGCGAGGAGTGGCGCATGCGATTGCAGGAGGACTGCCACTTTCAGGACAGAACTGGTAATTGTACCCGCTCAGGCAACGATGACCTTATAAGGTGACAGGTATCGAGTCATCGAGTTCTGCTCATTAATGGGGCACCGATGTAATGTGTGCCGGCCCCCCTTTGCTTGCTCTGCTGTGATCCATTCACGCGCACTCCGAGCCGATCGGAGCCACATGAAACGGCACTCATTCACCTTTGTGTAGCACTAGACAGGATCCTACCCGGACGGAAGAGTATGACGCGAAGACATGCATTTTCCGCCAGTTGGCTAAAGAAAAGAAACATCTGGAATCACATATCTTCTCCACGGGGGTGCAGTGGAGAATAATTCGGGGTTGCCATGTTATGTGTGTGTGTGTGTGTGCGTGTGTGTGTGTGTGTGTACGTGTGTGTGTGTGTGTGTCGTGCAATGCAATGCAATGCAATTCAATGCAATAGTGTCTGCCTTTGCTTTTGTGCGCAACATCATGCCGTGCCGATCGATTGTCCCCTCGCATCCCGCTGCGACCTTGTGAAATCGCCCACTCTCTCATTCTCTGATATACGGCAACGGAACCAGAACGATGTGAGCGAGAAGCAGCAGCGCTGGGGCTCCCGCACCGTGGAGGGGTCTGGCCGCGTCGGCGTCATTGAGGGCGGGTGAGCATACCGACGAGAGTATGTGGCGGAAGATCTGACTGCTGCTCGACCGTGTGCTTTCACCGGTTCATCCATGTGTGTTTCCTTACTTGCTCACATATACAATTGCGTTGCTTGATTCCTTTTCATTGCGCTTGCATTGTTAAGGCTGGACGCTCTTCGTCACGCCGTCGAGGAAGGCGACAAGGAGATCAAGTCCACGCAGCGCAAGTGAGCTGTGTGTGTTTGTCTGTGTTTGTCTGTGTGTTTGTCTGTGTCTGCGGGTTTGCTTGTGTCTGCGTGTCTGCTTTTGTGTGTGTGTGTGTGTGTGTGTGTGTGTGTGTGTGTGTGTGTGTGTGTATGTGTGTGTGTGTGTGTTTGTGATGTGCTGAGAGGTCCCCTTATTGCAGCCATTCACTCCCCCCTGCTTTTCTTTCCCCTTTGCAGGGAGAACTTTGCCCATGGATATGGCGGCAAGTACGGCGTGCAAAC